TGGATGTTACCAGCCGCTATACAAACATTCCCATAGAGGCTGGCATCCAATGTGTTAGAAAGATTTTTAAAGCCCACCTGGACCCCTAACGCCCTGATGAGGACCTCCTGGAGCTGCTACGGCTCAACCTCACCAGGAATGATTTTGTGTTTGAAAAAGAATTTTATTTGCAGATTAAGGGGACGGCCCAGGGGTTAAAGATTTGCCCTGGCCTACGCTAACATTTACATGGCCAATTGGGAGAGGCTATCCCTCCTAAAATGTAAAAAGATCCCCAGATGTTACCTACGTTTTCTTGATGACATCTGGGGAGTCTGGGATGGTACTAGGGAGGAATTCGAGGAATTTGTCACCACTCTAAATTCTCATGACCCATCCATACAATTAAAATCATAATTAAAAACCCATTCAATTGATTTCTTAGACACCACAACCTTAAAAGTAACAAATTTCATTCAATCGGGTTAGGGGTTAGGATTAAGGGTAGGGGTTAGGGTTAGGTTTTTAAAGCTGACCTGCCCCTCCTTGTGAAGGGAGAGGCAGACGTGCACGGGCTCGTTACTCGTGGTCAGGACGCCCGGGCTATCTCTAACCCTAATCTTTGACCCTGTACTAAACCTAATTTGTTAACCCTAACCCTATCCCTGGTAACTACCTTAACCCCTTAATAGAAAAAAATCCAAAAATTCACCAAAAAAAAGAAAAAATAACACACCATTTCATCTTTATTTTCTTTTTATTACCATTCTATTATTACACACAATAAAAACAGTTAAAAAGACCAAAAACAGTTTTAAAAAATAGTACTAAAAGACAAAGAAATACATAAAAACCTTAAAAACAATTAAAAACATTTTAAAATTCTATTAAGATTACTAAAAATACGTTTGTTACAAAAATAAGTTGATAAAAAATTGATAAAGGTTAAAATAATTTTTTCATTAATACATTTAAATAAAACACATTTAAAAATGTCAATTCATGTATGTACAGGAGTTCCGTTCCGTAGTCTGGGGGAGGAGCCGGCTCCCTATAAAAGCCTGCTCCCTGCAGCTCCTGCTCAGGACTCCAGAGAGAGCAGACCTCCTGTCTCTCTCCCCCCGTTTTTTTCATGTGCTTGACCTGAGGAAGACCTTTTCAGGTCAAAACGTTGTCCTGTCCCCTGCACACAAATTTGCTTATGGTTAGCTGTGCGGACCTCCAAATTGACAGCTTCCCGGGAGCTCACTTTAGTCACGCCCAGGCCCTTATTGAGAAGTGCGAGCTGCAAGCGGACCTGGAGGTGGAAAAGGTCATTTTAGCCTTTCGGATGAATACTACGTCCAATAATGTTCGGGAGACGACGATTAAAAACCTGCAGGGGGCACTCAGGGTGACAAAAAGGCGGTTCCCGTACGCCGGAATTTAGATCCCCCTCATCAATATCTCCCTGGACCTCTCAACCTACGAGAAAGAAAATCTGAGGATTCTAAATGAACATATTTTTAGAAATAGGCTCTACATCCCTCTCCTGCCTGACCACCTCTTCCACACCCAGATGGACGGTGTCCATTGGACAGAGGAGACGGCAGTAGCCATGCTGGACCACTGGAGTGCAGCATTAAACTGAGGACCCCCCTAAGTCTGAACCTAGAGGGGGGACAGTTAGCTGCACTCCAGGATACACACCAGGTGGTGGTGTTGGCTGAGAATCTCTCACAGGCCAGCAACACAGCCTCCTGGCCAGAGGCCTTTCCTTTGTCCCTACCCTTGAGCTAGGGAGAGGACAAAAAATTCAATTAAAAAAAGATTTAATTGATTATCACAGGAGATTAAAATTGGCAACATACTTTAAAAACGATAAAAAAAACCCATTACCTTTTGCGGCGTCCTCCAGTTGGGCTCCCTCCCTAGGTCTGCTACCTCAGGAGGTGGAAGCCCTGGTGGAGCACGACCTGTAAACATTCACACAACACTATCATCCACACCACGAACACCACAACCTCACAACACACGAAATACAAGCACTCAGACACCTACAACACAACAAAAACATAGTAATTAAGCCTGCCGACAAGGGTTGTCATAATGGATAGGGCACAATACAAATTCGAAGCAGAAAGACAATTAAATTACAAAATTGATTACAAAAAATTGGAAAATACTATATTTAAAGAAACTATACCGATGGTGACAAAAATAATTCATAAATAAAAAATTAAGAAATTCATAAATTCTAAACAATAAAAATATCTAATTGGAAACAAAATACCCCGACAAAGAAAATTCTATATTCTCCCAAAAATCCACAAAGACCCCCACAATTGGACCATCCCATTTAAAATCCCACAGGGGAGACCCATAGTCTCCGACTGTGATAGTGAGACCTACTACACAGCGTAGTTCCTAGACCACTACCTAAACCCGCTGTCGGTCCTACACCCCTCTTACCTCAGAGACACCTACCACTTCGTGGAGGTGGTCCGGGGCCTCGTTCTTCCTCCTCGGTGCCTCCTCTTCACCATGGACGTCGTAAACCTCTATACGAACATCCCGATAGAGGAGGTGATCCGGTGTGTGAGCGACTTTTTTAAAGCCCACCCGGATCCCAGGCGTCCTGAAGAGGAGCTATTGGACCTGCTGAGGATTAACCTCACCAGGAACGATTTAGTTTTTGATGGCCAATATTATTTGCAGGTTAAAGGGACAGCTATGGGCGAGAGGTTTGCCCCAGCCTATGCAAATATATATATGGCGAACTGGGAGAGGCTAGCCCTCCAGAAGTGCAGCAAGACCCCCAGATGCTACTTACGCTACCTCGACGACATCTGGGGCGTCTGGGATGGCTCACGGGAGGAATTCCACCATTTTGTCGACACCCTCAATTCCCACGATCCTTAAATACAATTAGAATTTTAATTAAAAGACAACACAATTGATTTTTTAGCCACATCATAAATAAAAGGAACACATTTCATAGACACATGCAAATTGGAGATAAAAGTATATTTTAAAAGAACAGACACACACGCATTATTACACAAACAAAGCTTCCATCCCACACACACATTCAAAGGCATAGTTAAGTGCCAATTGTTAAGATTCAGACGCATTTGCACCAACCCCGAATTTTTTT